TTTACTCTATTTGTAGCTCTGTAAGAACCAGCTCTGCTCTCTGGCCACCAAAAAAGCTGATTCCATTCCTCCCCGGATTACTGGTGTGCAGCTTTCAGTAGCATCTCAGAGTCACAGTCCCTTGCCTCTGCAGATTCCATCAATCTCATTGAAAACTGAATTTATCATCTTAAACTCCCTAAAATTCCTCTGAATTTCAGTATCAGTGAATGACACCAGCATCTCTTTTGTCAATCAAAACAAATCTGGCAGTTATCTTTGAATGGCAGAGGTAAGAGATAACCATGTTCTCTTGAGTTTACCTTTGAGATGTCTACCAAATTCAGCTCCTATTTTTAAATTCTAATCCCACTATCCACATAACCATTCTCATTATCCACATTAGCTGTTAAAAGACTCTCCCAGCCTGCCTTCAAAAGTCAATATCACTGAATTGTGAGACTCTGCACAGGTCCTATCATGGATGTCTTCATCTGTTATGCTAAGGAGTTAAGAATTTATTTGATAAGTAATGGGGAACCAAGTTATGGTGTCAGGTTTGCATTTTAAAACAATCACTGTAACTGCAATTATAGATGCTAAATTAAATGGTATAAAGATAGAGGTCACAGGTCAGGCTAAAGAGATTATTAAGTAACAATGTGGCTGAAAGGTGACCAGAATCTTAGGTAGAATGGTGGTGGTAGAGATGGAGCAGAGGAGATTTTTTTTGAAACTAGTAATGTGTAGAACTTAAAGGATTGGTACTCAATATAGTTTAGGGGATATGGGAGATCCAGATCTTGGATGAAAATATTCTTTATGTCTTGGAATGGACGAAAACATTTACATTGAAAAATAAAAACTCAATAAAATGTGATTTCTTCAAATACCTCAAAAGGTGTCATAAAATCAAGACAAATCATATATTGATCCACATTCTGAATCCCTTCTGAAAGTAAAACAAAACAGGGTGAGGTTAGGAGAAGTAGATTTGAGTATGATATAAGTAGAGGTTTCTAAAATGTTGCTCCCAAATGGCTCCAATGGGATGTTCCTTGGTTCACAGACAGGTCCAGTTCCTAGTTGTATAATATAAAGTGAATTATTGATGAACATGAAGATTCCTTCAAACATGGTGATTCTGGGATTCTCCAAGTTCCAGAGGGTCAACCTTATGAAGAGGCACAAAGATGCCCTGAAGACAGTGCTTGGCTGGCATTTTGGTGGCCAATATTCTGGTTCTAGTTCTGTGCTTGTCTAAGTTACAGGGTGACATTAAGCTGTTTCCCATCTGGACTCTAATACCCACCTATCTAAAAGATGAGGAGTTGAGGTAAATAATAATGAAAAGAAAACTACAAGAGTAATCACCCAGTGAATGGTAGCTGCTGTTATTGTGGCCAAGAATCATGCCCCGTGTTGCATACATATCATGTTCTTTAAACCTCAAGAACGGCACTGTATTATTAATTCCTCTACTTTCTGAATGAGAAGCCTGGGGCTCACAGAGATTATATCTTTTATCATTTTTACACTGCATGATTTGATAGTCTTAATTCCAATGAGATTGGAGCCGAGTCTTGATATTGTAGATTCTAGAGAAAAGGCTCACAGACTGCTTCTAAAGTTCCCGCCTTTCAAAAGATAGATATAGAGACAGTAAAGCAACAAGCAGACTGTCAAATTACAGTGGGGAGGCTAGGGAGATCAGGGGTAGATAAGAGATCAACCGAAGGACTTATATACATGCATATAAGTACAACTAATGGACACAAAACTCTGGGGAGGGAGGGCATGTATGGGGGGGCAATGGTATATGTACACAGATAATAATTTAATAAAAAATAAAAAAATTAAAATAAATAAATAAAAGAGAAAAAAAAAGTTCCTGCCTTTCTGTGATTTGACTATTCCATCTTCCCTGGATTCTCCAAGAGACCCCAAGACCCCTTGTTCAAACTATGCTGTTTCAAATCAAGAACCATAACAATATATTAATTGTTGAGGAAATTAAAGCTAGGTAGAGGTTCTGATTATAAACAAAAAAAATGCACAAATGATGTGTCTATCTCTCCCTTGAGGTCAGGTACCAAGTCTGATTAGTTTTGTTTACTCATTGCTTAGCTCAGGTTGGGCACCTCAGGCACTATGCTAATAGTTGTTGAATGAAATACTTCATAGTGGTTATGGAAAAAATATATTCATTATATTAAGTACAGTACATTTCACATTTATGAATATAGTACTGATCTCAGAAAACAGAAAAAAAGGATAGATTTGTGGGGAAATTTTTATATTTAGGACATACTATTTGACATGCTCACTGCATCCAACTGGAGCTCTCCAACAGGCATCTGGATACTAATATACAGCCTGTTAGATGAGGAATGGAGCTGGATTTAGAAAAATTTCAGTGTCTAGAGAGGTGGCATTTAAGTTCATGGGGCCAGATGAAATCATCTAAGTAGTAAAAGTAAATAGAAAAAAACAACAACAAAATAATCAAAGAAAGAATCCTGAATCCCTCCAATATAGAAAATGGGAAGATGTGGAGGTCCCAAAAAAGTGGACTGAAAAGTTGTAGCAAATGATATCGGAGAAACACCAGGAGCCAAGAGAAATGTCCAAAAAGCCAACTGAAGAAAATACTTTAAGAAAGAAGTGATCAGCTAGTTCAAATGCTGCTAATAGTTGAAGATAAGAAATGAGACTCTTCCACAGTATTTGGCAATATGAAAGTCATTGGTAATATTGATGAGAGCAGTTCAGAAGTGTTCTGGGTGAACACCTGCATGGTGAGCAATCATGTGCTTGCTTGACCTCCCACCAATCCCATCCCTTTTTCTCACTCTGTTCTACTTTGCAGAGAAATACAGTTTCTAATGTTCTTTACCAATTGGCTTCAGACTAGATTGAATTTATAGTAGACAATGGCAGGAGATTGGAGGACAAAAGAAGGTTAGCCAGAGTATTCTTCTTCCATTCTTCCTGCTTCTCCTCCATGTATCTGATTACCACTAACCAATTTTCTCTCTGTGGCCCAAGTTCTCACTGGGTAGGCTCACTGAGGCCCCCCTTCCATGGAGCTCTGGAAGCAGTATCTCCTCCCTCTGTCTCAAGTCCTATTAATATAAGTAACTTCCTCTTATGGCTAATATTGAAGTTTCCTCACCTTCTCCTGGCCAATCTTGTCTCTATTCCCTTTGCAGAGCCCACTCCCATACAAGTCTGATTGTATTCATCCATTTTTGGTCAGCAGAATCCTGGGTCTACGTTCCACACATTCTGGGCCATCATCCACGCATCCTTGTGGTTTCCAAGCACATTTTTGAAAAGGACATGGGGACCCAAGCCCCAAGAACAACAGTTCCTTGGGTGTTTCTGGAATGGCTCATGGTATGAGCCTCTTTCTTTTTAGCTGGGGTAGAAATACTCCTCTCAAGTCATAAACTCTTCCTCAGATGTAGTGGGCAGGCTTGTCCACAGGAAAGGTTTAAGCAAATAGACCTGCCATGACAGTTTCTAAGTGCCCCATCCTAGGAAAGCTAAAAGAAGGCAACACACATAAATTAACTCAGCATGCATTGCATAAATGAGTAGGAGGCAAACTTAGTGGGCCACAGAAATGGGAAGGAGAGCCTCAACTTCACCCAAATATATGTTTTTTTTTTCTTCCAGATTAACCATGAGTTTCTATATTTTAAAATTCTAAGATTCTGAGCTTCTTAGATTTTGAAGATTTTTTTTGGGTGTGATTCTTATATCTCTAAGGTCTCCCTCTCCCCAGTCTATAAACATAGGTTATGGACTCTTAATAATAATTACCCACATTTTTCTACTACATTCACCATTTGCTTCTGTAGATTCATTGACCATCTTCTTCTGTCCCCTCACACTCTCTGACTGATGGGGCCTCTTTCATCGTTCTGGTCAACAAGGCTCCAATGACGCTGCTTTCTCCCCTTCTCCCTTTAGACTGAGCAGTGGAAAAAGCCTCCTGCAGATACCTCCTATTATTTGTTGGCTCACTTAACCCTCCCTGTGCTTCAGTAAAAATCCTTTTTATTAAAGTCTTATTCATTTTAAACCTTGTTGAGTCTGTCATCTCTTTCATCTCAGGGCCATGATAGTACTTCTTGGCATTCCAGAAAGAACTTGAGTACATTCAAGCAAATGCTTAGCATTAATTGCATGCCCACTCTGGGTCAGGCACAAAGCTTCCTCTCTTGTTCTCACTGCCCTCACTGCGGTATGTAGCTTGGAAACCACTAGAAGACCTACCCCTCAAATCTGGGTTCCACTTGGCTGTGTCATGTGCTACCCCTCTCCTCATATTCCCAAGGCTGCAATCTCATAGGGGGCCAATGTGCAGTCATGTTTCTTAGAGTCTTCACTGTACTGAGGGTTCTCCAGTTGTGCTCAGAATTGAAGAGAACATTCCCTCTCTCCTACTATGACCATCTTACTAAGCATAGCTGTCTTACAGAATATCCTAACTCCACAGGACAATAGGACCCTTTAGATTTCCCTGGAAGCCTCCTCCATGGTCTCTGACACAGCTTTGAGCAACTGAGCCAGGAGTAGTAAGAGGATTAGGATAAAAAGTATCCTGTAACTAAGTTTGGGCAACACTGCATTAAAAAAAAAGATAAAAAAGAAGTATTTTGAACCACTCAGAAAGTTTCAGTGGACTGAGAATTTCTAAAGGGGGCCTATTGAGAACAGTATCTGTCCATGTTATTTGGTTATGGAAAACTTCTTCAAGGAATATTTCATGGGCCACCTCATCTCCTGCCCTGCTGCTGCTGCCACCACCCCAAGCCTGGGCACCATGTCACAACAAGAGAGACTTGTTCTGTTTCATAATAGAGGTCCCTGGAAAGACTTTCAGCTCTGAAGAGGAATAAGCTGATTATTGAAAAGATCTAACTATGACCTACAAGTAAAGGGCAGAGAAAACACCAGAGGAGCTCTAAGAATTCCAGGAGGGAAGCTGAGAATATAAAGCTGAATTGGAGATGCAGCTGCAACAAATTGAAACCAAGAACAGGGACCTCCTATCAGAAAATAACCACCTTCACATGGAGCTAGAAACCACCAAGGAGGAGTCGGAGACAAAGCATTCTAAAGGCTACTGGCAGATCTTCGCCTTAGAGAATGACCTTGCCCAGACAAAGGCAATTAAAGATCAGCTGCAAAAATATATCCAAGAGCTGGAACAAGCAAATTGTATCTTGGAAAGAGTGAAATGGGCCACGATCCTGTCTCAGGAAGAACTGGAGCAACACTTGAATCAAACCATTGAAAGAAATGCCTCCCTGGAGAGCGAGCTTGACAAGAAACATCTCCTAGAATCTGTTCAGCAACTGAAGGAGGAAGCCAGAGATCTGCAGCAGGAATTAGCTGTGCAGCAAAAGTAGGAGAAACCCAGGACCCCCCTAGACTGGCTCTGTAAAAGTTGAAAGGACAGACAACTATGCAGGCCATTGGCTTGGTGCTGTCCACTCCCATGGTTCATTGTGGGGACCCAGCTCTAATGCAAGGGAACATTCAGACGTGGTCTAGATAATAGCATGGGTGAGACTCCCTCATGCTTGTGATCTGGATTTCAGCCCTCCACATCATGGCAGACCTGCTGTGGAAAGTAGGGGCACCGGAGTTCAAAGTCACATCTTGCTGGAACTTCATGTATAACAGTCCCCAAACTAAACAAGTAGCCAGACCTCAGGTGGCCCATTTCACTCTTTCCAAGATACAATTTGCTTGTTCCAGCTCTTGGATATATTTCTGCAGCTGATCTTTAATTGCCTTTGTCTGGGCAAGGTCATTCCTAAGAACAGAGATGTCAGGGCCATCTCTGTTCTTAGGAAGTAAGAACAGAGATGGCCCTGACAGACAACCCAGCAACATCAGCATGCCTCTGGGCGACAAAGCCTTGGCAAAATGCCTGGAATGTGGGAAGGTGCTTTCAAATCTGTCTTCACCATTGCTGATATCAGCTCAGGATATAGTCAAGATGTTGCTTTAGGAAATTCACAGAAGCAAAGCCACTGGCATCTGTGTGGAAGTTTTTTTACCTTTCTTCCTTTATTTTTTTTTTTTAAAACAAAACATTTTATTGATGTCCGAGAAAGGAAGGGAAAGGGAGAGAGAAAGAAAAATATCAATGATGAGAGAGAATCATTGATCAGCTGACTTATCCTCACCCCCTACCTGGGATTGAGCCCATAACCCAGATATGTACCCTGACTGAGAATCAAAACCTGACCTGCTGGTTCGTAGGTCAATACTTAACCACTGGGCCACATTGGCCAAGTCCTTCCACTATTCACACTAGGTTTTTGTTTTCTTAAGTTGTTTGAGAAATATAGGTAAGCAGGCACACTAGCCAGTGACAGAGACCTGTGGCCCCTGGTGGTTGATCCTGTGAAATGTCTCCAAATACCCAGCTTCCTCGTTGGTGTGCTAAAGATGGACAGGGACAAGCTGGCTCATCTGGAAAGGGCTCTGAGGTTTAGTACTCAGGCTATCCCATCATTTTTAGCTGACCTAAGTTCTGCTTGGTCTTAGGAGATGTTTTTTAATGTCTGGAGATACCTGACAAGTGGCATCTGAGATCATCTCAGGCTCACCACAGCCCCACTTATCAGAATCCCTCTTCCAGAACAAAGTCTCCCAAAGCTTCATGGTACAACAAAAATCTGTATGCTGAAATCATGTCTAGAACCAAAGAGTAGACTAGGTATGTGCTTTAAAAAACACACACACACAAAAGCCTGTAGTATAGTGTATCTCCCACACTTTTTAATCTGCCTCTTGAGACTTTTAGAGGTGTGCTTGAGTTTCAGAGTATATTTTGTGTGGGCATGCCAGAGAAAAAATTGTGTCCTTTTTAGATATATTCCAACTGACCATTAGTGGTCCTGAGCCCCACCCCTGGCATGGGGGTGACCTCCTCTTTGGGACTCTTGAGGGTCATTGGGGTGGGATAGGCTTGGAAATACACAGGCTCTCTCCCTCCTGAAGCATTCCCTTATGCCCCCCTGCCCCTTTCCTAGGCTGTTACCTTTACCTCCCTCCGAAATTCCAAGGGTCCCCAGGAGACTTGAAACTAGGGCAGGAGTGGGCAGTGACAGATCATCCTGGGCTAACCTCAACCCCATGAACCTGTTTCCAAGGTCCCTCCATTCTTTCTGACTCTCCAGTGAGCTGACAGCAGCTCCTCTTTGGCTCTCCTGTTGCTTCTTCTAAGCCTTTCCTTGTTCACTGTCCCCAGCTTTAACAAAAGTACAAATAAACAAACAGGACTCCATTCAAGACCATAATAAAATAATCAGGTGAACCTCAAATAAGATTAAACCACCAGGATTGTTTTGGGAAGCTTCCTTGTAAAGGAAGAAATGAACACAGGATTTCCAATGCAGGCTATGTATATGCTTATCTCTGCTTGTTGTGAGCTGCTGTTTTACAAGACTGCTTCAGTCACAAGTAAGAAGAAACATGAATTCAGGAGCATGTGTGCAGCTTAACCACCTTTATTTTGTTATTAAGTTATTTTCCCAAAAGAACAGGAAAAATATCCTTGATTTGAAAGTAGAACTTTGCAAGTGTTATTGAAATTTAACAAAGAATTAAATTTCAGTGCCTAGTTCATTCCCTAGAAACATTTTTACTTACATTGGTAAAAGATATACTTTTAAAAATATTTATTTACTAGAGGTCTGGTGCATGAAATTCATGCACAAATGTGTGTGTGTGTGTGTGTATGTGTGTGTGTGTGTGTATGTGTGTCCCTCAGCCTAGCCTATACCTTCTCCAATCTCGGATCCCTAGAGGAATATCTGACTACTCATTTAGGGCAGTTGAATATCCCTCTCAGGACTGCTGGCTCCCAACTGCTTGCCTGACTGCCTGAATGTCTGATTACCCCTAACTGCTTCTGCCTGCCAGCATGATCACCCCCTAACTACTTCTGTGCCAGCCTGATTGATGCCTAATAGCTCCCCTCTCGGCTCAATTGCCCCTAATTGCCCTTCCCTGCTGGCCTGGTTACTCCCAACTGCCTTCCCCTGCTGGCCATCTTGTGGTGATCATCTTGTGTCCACATGGGGGCAGCCATCTTTGACAACATGGGGGCAGCCATATTGTGTGTTGAAGTGATGGTCAATGTGCATATTCCCTCTTTACTATATAGGATTGATTTTAAAGAGAGAAAGAAAAGGAGAGAGACAAAGAAACATTGTCTTATTGTTCCACGTATTCATGCATTCGTTGGTGTTTCTTGTATGTGCTCTGACTGTGATCAAACCAAAAACCTTGGCATATTAGAACAATGTTCTAACCAACTGAGCTACCTGGCCAGGATGAATACAAGATGTACTTTTATTTTAAAAATAAATAAAAGAAGAGAAACTAAATTTCAAAAACAAAAGAAAGCATTGCATGAACTATACTTTTAGGAAATGCTGACCTTTACTTAGTTCCTCCACTAATTTATAATAGTGAAGTTATTTTGTTTTTAAAATTTTTATTTCAGGCAGACAGAATGAGCTTGTCAATGGGAGGCCACCTAGAGGAGAGGCAACATATTGTCATGAAATTTGGGCTTAGCCAGACTTGTTTCTGAATTCTGACTCAGTTGTAGAGTGGCATTTGGCAAATTATCTCACCTTTCTGGACCTCAGCTTCCACATTAGTTTAAGTGGAACCAGTAGAGTCTATTAAATGTGATAATGATTTAAAGTTTCCATCCCTGTTTCTGGAACTTATAAGGTACTCAACAAGTGTGATTTCCCCTTCCTTAGAAATGAATGCTCTCTCACATGACCCAGCCGTTCCTCATTTCTTATCAGAAGCCTCCTTGACTATTTATTTAAAAATATATTTTTATTGATTTTTTACAGAGAGGAAAGGAGAGAGATAGAGAGCTAGAAATGTCGATGAGAGAGAAACACCGACCAGCTGCCTCCTGCACACCCCCTACCGGGAATGTGCCCACAGCCAACGTACATGACCCTGACCGGATTCGAACCTGGGACCTTTTAGTTTGCAGACCAACGCTCTACCACTAAGCCAAACCGGTTTTAGTGACTATTTCTTTTTATTTTGAATTTCTCTGCCATTTAAAGCATGGACAAGGAAGAGTAGGTCTTAGTGAATCAGAGAAAGTTAAAGCAAGAGAGAAACTGTCTTTGCAGTCATCTTTCATTAATGATGCCAAGAATTGAAATAGGTTCTTGGAACTGAATTTTGAGCAAAATCCACAAGGATTTCTTCATTTCTCATTCCAGATCTGGAAAGAAGTATATTCTCCTCTAATTTCTATTTATTGTTAATGTTGATACAGACCCTTATTATAAAAATAATTCACACAAAATTCTGCCACCCAACACATTAGATATTTTCATTTTTGCTTGTGACTTTTTTTTTGCAATAACAACATATTTTTGAATAGAAAGATTACTAAACATAATATTAAATATTAAATATTATTCCAGGTTGATGCCTTGTCTTTACAATTATTTCTAATGATTTTATGATACTTGATCAATGATTTTTATGGGTACTAAATTTAGGTAATCTTTGGGGAAAAGGTTGCCTTGGTGACTGGTTATATATGATCATGTCCCCACTGCTGAGTATTTTTTAATCCCCAAATCCTTCACTATTTTTAAAAATTTTATAGCAATCTTCATGCATGTATATTAGGATAAATTTTTAAAAGATATTACTTTTTTTTTCTCTGTATCTATGACTTCCTAGCTTAATACTGATTGACTGTTCTTATTTCAGCCTAGAAAAAGCTTGGGGTTGGGGTTGGGCTAAATGCACAGCCTTCTATAAAATTCTACTCTTCTTGACTTTTGTTTTTAAAGGTAGAAGTGTGGGTGTTGGTGGGAGGAAAGGAGAGGGCAGCCAAGGGACCTGGGGAGAGGTAGAGTGTCTTGGAAAATATAGTAAAAGCATAATTTCTTTTTCTCTCCTCTGTTTATTTGGGGGTTGGGAGTAATCTCTCTCAGAAATACCCCCCAAACTGAGATTAAACTTTCCAAGACCACCAAATAAATGGGTTTCAATGTCATAAATTGAATTGTTTTTATAAAAATACTGAGTATATGAGCTAAAATTCATACCTATCTTTAGGTTATTATTATTTAAAGATAATTTTCCTGAAGAAGAATTTATGGGTCAAGATATATAAACATTTTTATCAATATATCTCTTGGTTTCATGGTTCCAAATCATTGTCTAGGAAAAAATGCCATAATTTATCCAATACCAAGAATAACTAAAGGTACTATTTCTACCATATACTTACTAGCTTTAGTTACTATATTTCAAAAAGATTATTGCTAATTAACTAATGAAAATGTTACTTCAATTTAATGAACATTTCTTAAGTTACTAGAGAGTTTGAATG